TAGTAGTAGTAGTAGTAGTAGTAGTAGTAGTAGTAGTAGTAGTTGTTGTTGTTGTTGTTGTTGTTATTGTTGTTGTTGTTGTTGTTGTTGTAGCAGTAGCAACAGCGGCAGCATCTGCAGTATCCGTGCTATCATTACTATTAGTATTATGATACCCGTAACGATGCTGCTACTGCTTCTGCTTCTGCTTCTGATGATGATGATGATGATGATGATGATGATGATGATGATGATGATGATGATGATACCATCACATCATTTTTGGTTGAATTTTCATTAATATTCATTAACATTATCCTTTTACTTTTATGCGTTGTCCAGGCGTAGATCGCTCAGCGATCCCCGAACCCAAGACCGCCGTGTCCCAGTTCTGGACCGACTACCCGTTCGGCTCTGGCTGGATCACCTGGAGAGCAGGCTACCATTTCGATGACGTTATGAACACCATGCGTCGTCCGTCACTAAAAGATGAGGTGTACGTGGTGGGTGCCGACTACGCCTGGGGCCTCATGTCTTCCTGGATAGAGGGCTCCCTGGAGACAACAGACGCTGTGCTAAAAGAGTACTTCAAGGCGGAATGTAGAGACTTTCCCAATAATAATCATTTGGGCAGTCACATGGCTTGATAGATCTGTAGATCTACGGAAAGGGGTGTCAAACTCATTGCTCAGTGTGGCTAAACTCAGATTATGTAATAATATACAGTTGATGGCCAAATTGGCTACAACATACTCACTGATTAGTGGAGAAACGTCTTTTAACAAACATTTTTTTTCTATTGCTTTATTTGGGTTTTTATAAAACTGATATACAATGGTACGAATTAAAAAGACAATTTAAAAAAAAAAGCAAGTCAAGGCTTATCAATGTTCCCCCTGTCACTGACTTTCAGGCCTGATTGTTTGAAATATTTTCTTGTCAACAAGCAGTATAATGTTTAGAAGAAGGCTTTTTGTTATGGAGGTTCTCATGATGGACTCCCAAAAATTCCTTTGCGGGTTAGATTTCTATGAAAGGTCTTTTTGTTGCGGCCAACAGGCCTTGAGTTTGATACTTGTGGTCTACGTGTTGTTGAATCTTTGGCTGACAGACTGATCTTTAAACCACAATAATGGATCATTGGCTGACCAAAGAACTACAGGCGTGGATAAATCTGATAAGGTTGTCATTTGTGAGAGTAAAAAACAAGACTTAAAAGAGGCGAAAGAAATGAAGTATAGGAGCAACCCGTGGCACCATCCAATAAGCCACTAGATGAAAAGATGTGAAAGTATACTTTATCAAACACCTGTAGGAAAATATTGAAGGTGTTTTCATTGCCTCCTGCAACCCAAGAATAATTATACAACATTATGCTAGCAAATATTAAATCTTACAAGACGTATATCTGCGACTTCGTCTTTGAAAAGAAATTGTTATCCCCAGACAGTTCAAATTTTATGCGAACATTCTTTATTTCACATTGCCAAATTTCAGATATTTTTAACTTCTTATCTTTTCTTATTAAATTATTTCCCCTGTTCATCCTTTCCCTCTTTGGCCGAAATTGTGCTTGTGATTAAAATTGAAATATTTGAGAATTTTTTGGGGGTTTGGTGCTTAAATGCGTTCAGGCGTGTGTATGTTTGTGTGTTTCTGTGTGTTTGTGTGCGTTCGTGTGTGTGTGTGTGTGTGTGTGTGTGTGTGTGTGTGTG